CTTGCGTTTGCAGCAGATGAAGATCCCCACTAACCCAACAAGTTGTAATCTTACTAGGTTTTGACCAAATTATTATTTTTTTTAATATCAAGATGCATTTGGAATTACACGTAAAACCTTTAAGACTAAAAATTAAGTATTAGTAAAATAATGGTATTTTTATTTAATACATGGACAACTTAAATATTTTTATAGATCTAAAATTTCTGGTACAAGTCATGTACTTATATGTAAAATCCAGAGCTTCACCGTGCTAGCACGGCATTAGTTTTAATGTTATTAAATAACTTAACGTATTGTGATTTGCAAAACGTTTTGGCACATTCGAGTGTAATTCGTTCGACTTATCCAGTGCGAAAAAAAAAATTATCTATAAATTGACATCGTCTCACGGGCACTTTGCAGTGCGGTCAAGCATTTCACGTAAAACTTAGTTTATCGAATATGAATTATCATCGGTTAGCACTTTCTTAAATTTTATTTTGTGCAGAACCGTGCAGAAAACACAATATGAGCGAAAGCTTCCATGGCTCACCTGTAACTACGGACTCTAATTAGTGCGCTAATTTGAGGAACAAACTGGATGCAAAGCACAATAAAACGTTCCCGGACTAAAATCGTTTGATCAGATCTGGTCCCAAGCCCAGTCTTTCTTTTGTATGAGCTAATTGAAGATTTTCATTTTGTTTACCATTAGAAAATATGGTGAAAAAACACAAAGAAAATTGTTGACAAAATAATAAATAATCGAATATTCTATATGAAATATAATTGTTCGGCTTATTATTTTCCGGATCACTGCAGCGAAGCCGGTCGCTGTGCTCATACTGCGAAGATAAATCTCGCGTTTGTGGCTTTTTGGCATGCTTTAAGGCTAATTATCCGCTCTGGGCTTACTGTATCATGTCCGCCAGTTATTCGTCTGCCCACTGGATGGTTCACTCAAGATTCACCAAGCTACACAAATGCAACCAGTATCCGTATATACTTCACTGGGTTCCCCTGCACGTTGCACTGGACATCACAACGTTAACCTGAACGGTGTTCAAGGATAATCTGTAGATTCTGTAGGCTACGCCTAATAGTCGTGTTTTCTGGTGCTATCTTGGGTTGTTCTCAAACAACGTTGGCTTAGTATACTGTAGTTTAACTGGGAGATCTCGAAGAAGCCGACTGGTGTTCCCTTGAAGGAGAACTTAATCATTTTCAGAGCGAGTGCGACTTCCTTTATAGTCGTGGTTTGCCACGCGTACGCATTGAATCCTTCGTGATCTTTTTTTCTTGATGTCGAAGACATCGTTCCTTGTACTCGAGTAGGGCTATTAATTAATATCAGTTGTCGAAATAATGAACGCCTGTTGCTCACAGAATATGCTGAAAACGTGTTGCTACACCGGTAAAATTTGTCGCTTAAAGAACAGCCCTTTTCCCAACAGAAAACCAGCGTTGAATTATTACCACTCTATTTTCAGCATTCGAAAACTGAATCGTTCTGGTTTGCTATTTATATTTAAATTAGGAACGTTTTCCGCTCTCGCTGCGTTCCGTCTGTGAGGTTGGTGTCATCTCACTTACAAGCTTTCATGCCATGGAGGAGTTAGTGGACCTGTCCCGGGACGAGAGCGACACTACGATCGTGCTAGACTACGCTCCTGACGACAACGAGAGCGAAGGGTCAACTAGTGATGGCGTCGAGCGCACGGAGCAGGGCATTGGTGGCATCAGTGAATGCGCGACAGAGTTATCTGCCAAAGTGGTTGTCGTCACCGCATCTCCCGATCTGGATGGTGGAGGCTCTAAAAGCTCTCTTGACGTTGGTTCTGATGGTGATGTTGCCAGTGTTGGGGCTGTAGCTGAACTTTAAAGAGGTTTATCGGTGATTCCTAAGGAAATATACAGCAGCATCGGCTTTTACGACACACTCGGCGAAGCCGAGCTTGCTCTTCACGGCTTCAATCGTTTTGTCTATACGTATCGGGCAAGATATATTTCTCGGTTTGTACTTGGGAAAGTGTGTCAGTGCAGATCTCACATTCGGTGTGGAGATAGACTAAAACTTAACACGCACAGGGCCGACGAAACGTTATTTCGCTATCAGCTGCTACAACGCGGGCGTCACTGCGGCCAAACGTGCAATTACCCCCAACGTGGTATTTCACCAGTATTGAAACCCAAAATTGACGCGCTGCTGAAGCTTGGAATGTCGGCAGGACGGGTGAGAAACATGATACTTTTACATATATCCACGAACCGGACATGTGGGTAGATGTTCCCGAAGTTCGAAAAATGGAAAACCGTAAGGCATACTTAAACAAGAAGGCCACTGGTGGGTGGGAGATAAACAAGTTTACAACTCTGAGGAATTGGACCGCACTAAATTGTTTTGGCGTTGACGAAAATAACGTTGCCGACATGAATGCAATGATTGTGTTTGACGACTTCGAGCAGGTGGTTGCTTTAGGAAATCAGCAAGTTGCCAGTATGGGTATGGTAGTCACGACACGTGATCTTTTTCAGAATGTCCGCCAAGCTGTGCAAGATCAAGGCTCGACTTGGTCATGTCGACTGATGGTACATATCGAATCCATTTTGGTGGATTGACATTTGTTGACTGTGGAGGAATTTCAGTTGAGTCAACTGATTCTGGGTTCGTGCAACTGTTTCGTCCTTGGTTATATGTGTTCGAGCGCGCCGAAAGTGCTTTTGCTTATGAGAAGATGTTCATTGCATTAATTAAATATGCAAAAGGCTATTACAACATAAATGAATCCATCCGCAGTGCACTCTGACGCAATTGCATCAGCTCTGTTGTCGGGAGTGGCCCCAAGTAGAGATACTCACGTGCTGGGAGCATATATTAAGACAGTCACATAAGCAATCGAAGCTGGCGATCGAAAAAATCTTCGTAAAGGAGCGAGTGCAGCCACATCTCCGCTTGTTACATGCAGCGCGGTCGCTAAAGCAATTACGCTGCGTGTCCAAGCGAGTCATAAAAGCTTGACGCGACAAAAACAAAGCCCCTCTAGCCGACTGGCTAGAACCTGCGTACTTGACTTCTCGCTGGGAGCGCTGGAGTGTCAGTAGCTCCAGCGTTCCTGTTTTATTTTTTTAACCGACGCAGCAACCCATTGAGAGCCATCATCGAGTGATTAAGGTGATCGTGACAGACGACAAAAACGCACCAACGATATCAGTGCTCAATGAAGGGCTGCCTCGAGTATTACTGTACGACGCGACTAATTTATCATCCGGTAGCCAAGGTCTTTGTGCTGAAGGTATGTTGTGTTTTGTATTTTTATGCTGTCATAAGTAAACTTTTGATGTACGAACAGGTCCTTTGCCACTAAGTGCTGTGATGAAGGCGAAGGATTTTTTTTTATTAGACCCGCAAAATCACCGAATCGTTACTACCAGGGCAAACCAAAGACCTGCGCACCTTTTGTTTCAATAACTCCAGATCAATGGTGCACATAAAGAACCTGGCTAGGTCGCCTGTTATGGCTTGCAGAATTGAAAGGTAAGATCTCCAAGTCATTTGTGACGCTAGCATTATCGTTATTGTCTTTTTGTATTAGATTTCAGCGATCTTTGCGTGGATGGCTTGGGGATGAAGATCTTATAGGCGATATGCAAGTTATATCTTGTCACTTCATCAAGTGACGCTACACCAGCGTCAGCTAGCCCAAATTGAGAACCTTCCTCTGCAGTCAAGATGCTACCTCCCTGAGATAAGAACTATGCTTTTTTCTAAGTATATGGTGGCACTCTAACGGTGTGCATTGCAGATTTTATCTATTCGTAGCGCTTTAAGCTGTACTTGCAAGAGATACAAGCATTCGGGGTGGATTTGCTAACATATTATCGCCTCTCTGCATCTCTTAGACAAGCTGAACATTGATAGGGCGTTATAAACAATTCCCATGCGCGGGCTGCCCGGACATTCACGCTCGATAGTCAGTCGTCTCCAGCGCGACGATTCTTATGATGTTGATCGACTTATCACTATTTTCACGAAACAACCTGGAGGGGGGGGGGGCTTGAAATGGCCAGTTGTTGAGGGGTTTGAAGTAGTGGACAGTGGGGTGACAGTCCCAGATCGCCGCATTGGACAGGTTGCAGCATGTCGACTGTCCCCACACGATGGCGTATACCTATGGACGGCATCTTTCGTTGACGGAGGCAGAACTGTGTACAAGGTGGAGGAGCTTGTGCACGCCATTCGCAGATCACGTGATATGAGTGCCGTTGTCTGAGAAAACGATGCATGAGTATCTAGCACGTCAGAAATATTAGTTAATGCAACTCTTGACTTTCATTTTGCTGTTCAAGACGCGTAGTTATTCAATCGTTCATGCTGGTTTCAGAGTCGTAGTGCTGAATGTCTGTGCACCGAAGATAAGCACTGACTTTATGTCGCAATAAGCTCACAACAGAATGTCCATGGCTCATAACAAGAGATCAGCACTGATTTGTACACAACAGTCAATAAGCATTTGAGCAACAGATATTTATATTGTTCCCTTGAGTAGTACTTGGCAGTTCTCGTTGACGCAGATGTGTTAGGGCACCTACCATTCCGCGGTACACGCGATAAGTTGAGCGAAGGTCGTCCAAGCAGAATCTTCCTTTAAGGTATCCTAATGTTACCTGCAACTCAGTCCACATTCTGGAACCATAAAATGTCTGTGGTGCCCTACAGGGTACTTCGTATCCTTTCTGGTATAATTAAGGTTTCAATTCATTTCTAAATTAGCAGAAAACGAGGGAGACTGACACGGATAAGATTTGTGAAATGTGTGCACAAGCGCTGATTGGCTCATCAGATCCTGCAGTGAGGTGACAGTCATTAATACGAGGCAGTGTGGCACACACCACTGGGTGGCCGTTGGACACGACTGGTCGTATCCGGATAGTATCCGGATGGTAACTCCTCGAGACCTCGCCCAACAGTCGCCGAAACCTCGTTGGTTACAAGATCTCATCCACAACGGACAAGTCCACACTAGGTATTTGTATATGACACAGGAAAGAGTAGATAAGAAGATAAGCGCCATTGTGCGCAACAAATAGAGCAGATTTTCCTCCCGATCGCACAAGTCAAGTCCGGCTGCGGTTAAGTGACCGTAGCGACCGTCAAGCTTGATCGACAGGATTATGCCTGCTGGTGACCACGCTGGCTGAGAAGATCAACGAGTTCGCCCACCCCGGCAAAGCCAAGAGACATGAAGGAGAAGACCGTGTGCTGTGCCGAAGTGTTGAGGACGAGACTGCGTCCGACCCCTGTGGAGTGCGAAGAAGAGCCTCCAATGCTACTGTCAGGCAGAGAGAACAAAGCTCCGGCCGCCCTCTCTTACCGGCCGAACAAGCCCCGGGCCGTTCCCTCCTGAGGGCCTGCGAGGTTATGTGTCTCTGTGTGTAACAGCAGCTTAGTCTTTGCTCGTGGACTAGTCGGTTCTATTATGCTATCGCTTGGGCCTACCTGTACTGACGTACGTGCGGTCGGCTATCACAATATATTTTGCTTTCAAGGCCACATGACCCCTCCTTTCAGTAGAACACCTCGCTACAATCATGCGCAGCTCTTTCTACGTTACATTTGCTGTCGCGGTACTCGCTCGTAGCAGTATCGTCGCAAGTTTTCGAATATCGACGAGTCTCAGCCCATCTTGAAGACCACTCCTGATTTCGTGGCCGATGCTATGGCCAGTAGCTACTCCAGGAAGAGATTCCTTCGAGTCGTAGATCCAGAAGATGACAATTTGACAGCCGCCGATGAAGAGCGACTAAGTTAAAGAACCTCGTATCGATCCTTGAGAAGCTGGAAGAACAAAAATGTTACGTGTTGCCGGCATTTTAGAGAACATGGACGAAATTCATCACAAGAGTGTTCGGAAGAACTGGAAAAGGTGCTGCAAAATGGTCAAATGATGCAATAGGAGGATGACACCGTCATTGCCCCCTTACGGCGCTCGTCAGACCAAGAGACGAGCGCGTCGTGTACACAAACTTAGGGAAAATATCTAGAGCAATTAATATCGTTTAGTTTTCTTGAACAGCAAACTGACAATGGAGGTTGCATGGCTTTTTTTTTACGGGCAAACCAGAAGTTTCTAGGCTTCTTGCTAACTAGCATGTCATCATATTTAACCTACTTAAAGCGTTGTTGTTCTAACAATGTTTTTTTTTCGCCAGCACTCTCGTCTTGATCATTCTTGGCATCAATTGGCCTGTCATAGCTCTCCAAGGACCCGCCGAGCCATTTAATTGCCGATTTCAAAGCATTAGACTCCTGCAAATTCACTACGAGAGCAGTAAAATTCCATTCTTGCTTGAGTTCTGCCGAAATCTGCCTCACGATCGTGTTAGAGATAATTCAGTTGGCACTATTGTAGCAAATGACTAGTATCCGCCAGAAACGCAGCACACGGTTTTCAGAGTGGTCCTGAGCACAATGGATCTTATATCTTAAATCTAGAGCTCTATTCAGAGTCCAAAGCTTGAGGAGGCGAGTCAGTCTAACCCTCTCCTGCTGTAATTAAGAAGAATTGTATAATCAGGAATCCAAAATTACCCAAGCCACCCTAAACTTACAATAATTCCGGTTGGCTTCTATTACATATTATGTCCTCACGCTGTAAGCATTGCTACTACCACTGTAATCGATGCGCATGAACTGCATACTCATACTCACGTACTGCACTGGCAGGCATTGGCTGTGGGGTCATACTGAAAACCTTGCCCTTCTGAACTAAAATGGGCAGTTTTGGAGACCTTGAAAAGGATACTGTCAACAGAAATGTATGGATATTAGCTGAACAAATCGAAAGGGTACAAGGTAAACTATGGCGTATTAGCTGTAGATCTTAATATCCTAAGGACATGGCCACTTATGGTTGATCATCTGCTTCAACTGTCCTCCTACTCGGTGGAATTCGATGTGTGGTGATATCGAAGTAGCAAGGCCCGTATGCCCACAAATACCGTAATTACTATGCGTCCACGACAGAATCTCTAAAATTTTTCAATGGCATGGTTCATGGTGAAATACAGGCAAGTCCAACAGCGGACGCGCTCTTCAAGTCGAATCTGCAGGTTGACAAAGATGTATCGAAGGAATTCTTCAAGTTCAGTCTGCGGACATCACTTTTTTGTTTTGTAAAGGTGAAAAAAATGAATTTTTTTTTGCGCCCTGATTGTCTCCGGCGCGGTCGGTCAGTATTTGACGCTTAACGTCGTGTGTTACCAACATAGCCCGAAACGCTAAATCTATGCATGCCGCCACATCAACAGGATGGAAGGGCTCGTAGCAAGTGTCCTTGTCGACATGCGTAATTGACTGTCATACATCAGCTGCAAAAGACGGCATGAAGGCGGTGATAGAACCGTCCTCCGGTCTTCATCGTGATTGCAATTACTGTAACCGACGAATGCAGATCAACACTAACATGTCGGAGACTATCATCTAAAGCACTATCAGGTAGTTGTAGTACCTAAACCATTGACGCTCATACCACTACGTGCTGCTTTGACGACTAGGTGCTCAACCGAAACTGTGATCTATAATTGTTAAACAATGCTGATACGACTATGTAACGGGCCAATTATCTCGCCCGGCCGTGGGGCGGGTCGTCGCTCCACAGTGCTGCGCTGCGTCGTCCGCTGTCACTAGAATGTAGCAATTGATAAAGCAACAATACACGATGCTGGCCGACAGGATCTACTTGATCCTGCGCCGGAACGTACACCACCTGTGTCCGCTCCTACTTTATTTACCAATAAGTCGCCTTAGCCAACTGCTAATGCCACCTACGTTATCAACAATGCACACACACGTCGGCTCCTCCGTCGCGTGCGCTTCACCCGTGAACTCACTCACAACAACTCCAAGCGATGTGCACTGGATTCCCCGTCAGCACACACCACCAACTTGTCACCGTCTCTAGCTCGCACCGAATTCCCCGTCAGCACTTGCCACACGGCGTTGTGTCTCGTGACTCTCGCGTCACCCACTGCCTGGTCGTCCAAGCCACAGTCTGTGCCCTCCAGAGCACAATTCACACTGAGCGGCTCTCACCGCTCGCCACATTTCACACACTGGATTCCCCGTGATGTGCAGGCCGCACGTACTGCACTTCAATGCCACGGTCTTCATTTGGGCATCTCACGTGCCGCACGTCGCCCTCACACGCCCCATTGTCGCCGTGCGCGTGGCCTGTTTCCAACTGACACGGCCAGTGCCACTCATGCATCCTATCATCATCTGGACCGGCTACACTTTGGTCCACACGACCACCCGATCCGTTACACACCTTCATCCAACACAGAGGCTTCCGCGACCCTGACGGCTGCAAACAACTCATCGTACTCTGCAGCGGAGACCCAGGCGACGAAATAAAGCCAGGCACTACATACTTGAGTACCAATTGCAGCCTTCACGACAAGATCGACGCTCGTCATCTCCAATTGCGCGCCGATCTTGTCGTGCAGGCTGCAATTCGTACTCAAGTACGTAGTTCCCGGCTTTGTTTCGTCGGCGTCGTCTCCGCTCTTCCACCAATGGTTCACTCGTTTGTCTCCACGCTGTCTCACTGCCCACTGCTCGATTTTGTTTTCTTTTTCCTG